TATACTCTTCCACGTGTTCTACACATGGCTCCCTGACCCCTCACAGGTCAAAAACAACGAGGCCGCTCTGTCCTGGATTAGAACCTCCAAGGCTGAGCTTCAAGAGACCTTCTTTTCTAAGTTAATGATGCCAATCTGTCGCCACAGGGATGGAAATCTAGCATACTTTCCACTTTCCGGGGTTTAGAAGCTGATTTGACATTGGTTTGCGGGCAATATCGGTGTGAAGACTGAAGCTGAACGCTGAAGCCAAGCTCTCAGGAGGGGCTACCCCTTAGATCTATGGGATTTATGAAGCAGTAATTTGACCTCGCTGTGCTTTACTTTCCCATGCAATGGGGAGAGCAGCGGGCTTAGGAACACACACTCTGAGGAGATGGAGAAAAGCAGCCTCTGGATTGGATCTATCCAGAGTTAGATCTGGATTCTGCCCGAACTTTGTCAGGCAAGCTCATCAACCCCTCTGAGCCTCTGCTTCACTCTCACAGAACAGCACTAAGCACGGTATGAATCCCCACACCTACCCTGCAGAGTTGTCAGGACAACCGAATGATTTCACAGATGTAAAGTGCGCAGAACAGCACCTGGCACCCAGCGCTTCCCGTTGCTATTATCCTATCGCATCACTGCAAGAATCTCAAGCACTCCCTGAAAGCAGTGTGGAGCAGATGCGCAATAAACTTGTTGACACCTATTGTTAAAGACCGGCATTCCTCACTGCATCTCCTCAAACCACCACCTTCTGTGGGGAACCTGCTGTCCAAACAAATTGGATGGATGTGCGGCCACACTTGGTTTGATCAGAGGACACTGCCCCATGAGCAGTGATCATGCTTAGACAATCCCTGAGAGCGAACTGCGGAGCCAAACTCCCCTCAGTGCTTCTCCACCAGACTCTTCACAGGGCTCCCTGGGCTGCAAAGTCAGTGTACCGTGGGTTTTTACTTTGATATCATGTTCGGTGTTCCAAGGGATGCAACATGAAATCCTCATGGTACCGCCTTGGTCCTGCCCCCAGCTGGTCTTTACTACTACTGGACTCCTCAGTTACACAGACTGATACATTTCCTCTGGGTTCAGATGCCTCTATTCTCACTTCCGGACATCATTCGTTAGACGTATCATTAATAGAGCACACAGGCCATCGGTAGCTATTGCTTCTCTTTTTCATCTGCACTTCAAATCCATCTTCCTATACCACCACGGCCTTTCCAGAAGATACATGTTATGGTTTGAACGTGAAATGTCCTCCATTGACATGGAGATTTAAACAGTCTCAACTGGTGGTGCTGTTTCAGAAGGCCCTGGAACGGTTAGGAGGTGGAGCTTCTCTGGAGGAAGTGAGTCACTGGGGTCGGGCAGGAACTGAGGTTTTGATAGCATAGCCCGCTTTCCTGTCTGCTGCCTACTTCAGAACTGTGGATGCCACAGGATCAGCAGCCCCCTTGTTTCTTCCCCCATCATGAAGGAGCGTGTCCCTTTAAACTGTAAGTCAAAAGAAGCCTTTCCTTTAAGTTGCTCTTTGTCAGGTATTTAGTCACAGGGACAAGAAGAGTCAACCTACTAAAAAAATGAAAGACTTGAGGTTGGAGAGTTAGGTGGATCTGCGAGGAACTAAGAAGGACAGTTGCTGAGTATGGTCAAACACACTGGAGGCATTTATGAAATTCTCAAAGAATTTATAAAAACATCCTTAGAGTAAACACTGGCCATGAAGATAATAACAAGAGCGAAGCCCAGAAGTGCTGCTATCTTGTATGTCCTGCTACAGATCAGTTAGCTGCACGGTCCATGCCAAGCCTGCCTCCCCAGGGAACTGACGTGTGGTGTCTCCTGGGAGGCAGAGCTCTTTTCTAACAGGGCTGACGGCATATGTATACACACCCATGATTGCACATTTATTGATTTTCTAATTTGTACCCTGCTTACTTCCAAAAAGGCCCTGGAGTGGCTGACAAAATAAGACAAAGACATAATGGGGCCATTAAGAAAAATCAAAGATCAAGCCCAAAGAGAAAAAGCGATGGCTGATTAGCACTCCAACCTGGGTTAATATAGTTGCTTCGATTTAAAATATATTTATATATATTTAGCTCTCAGCCTTTGGCAGTCAGTCAGAATATGTCAGGATTGGGCAAAGAGCGAGCTAAGTATCCTTCACAGCTTCTGCTCAGAGCAAAAGGGATGGGCTCCAACAGGCAACGGAAGAAAGTACACTGAATGAATGAATGAATGAATGAATGGTAAATAAAAGAGTCAAACCTCTCAAAGAAACCCTCTTGTATCCTTGGACCCATATCACTCATCTACCTACTCAGCCAGCCATCATTGTCTCAGTGCCTATCTGTGCCAGTCTTTGCGCCTGGCCAAGGACTCCCAGAAGGATGATCACCAAATGGGTCGAACACTGTGCCTGCCTTCATGGCTCCAATTCTCTGGCGGGAGGCAAATGTTTGGTATAATGTATCTCAATGCCCACTGCAACTAGAATGCTCCCCTGCTCCCAAAGCTGAGGCTGTAAAAACAACAACTAGAGAGGCAGCTATAGGTAAGTTGGTCCTTCACCTATCCCATTATGCTCAACCCTAGGAAAGATACGATTACACTATTTTCTCACTGGGTGCTCGTGGTTCCCCTGAGCAGCTGGGAGAAGGGACAAGAGGCAGTTCCGTTTACTATGAAGACAGGCACAGGAAAGAGGCTCTCCAAACTCTTAGAAAGGGGCCATTAGGACAAAACCAGTGAGTTCCAGCTCCGGGTCTTACAGCCAGCATTGCAGACACTGGTTAACAACACCAGAAACTTCTCTGTCTGGCTCAAGACTCTTGGCACAAAACAGGCATTGCCTGGTGGCTTTAGGGAGACTCTGTGAATATAGGGAAACTACCTAGCTGAACTTAAACCAATAGAGTTCTCCTATCCCGATTCCACTCTGTCAAAGTCCTCAGCAGCTGCAGCCACCAGAGCCTTCTTCCACCCAGATACCAATGCTGAGATCCCAGGAGAACAGCATATACCTGCATGACTTGGTAAGAGTGGGATGATAAGCAGCAATGAAGTCCTCGAGGGGACACATGGCTACTCGGGGCACACTGAGTGAGTCTCTGATAGTTCCTCCTCTTGGTGGGAAATCCTAGAGAGAAAACTACCACCACTGAGCGTGCACAAAGCTTCCTGGTTGGAATTCCTAACACATGTAATACATTCCTATGTGGCATGCCCTTCTGTATGCTGTGAATATGTTTTATTACCATTGGCTAATAAAGAAGATGATTTGATCAACAGTCAGGCAGAATAGAGCCAAGTGGGAAATCCAAGCAAAGATACAGGGATAAAGAAGGCAGAGTCAGGGAGACTCCAGCAGCTGCCAGAGAAGCAAGATGTGAAGTAATAAGCCATGAATGTCGTAGTAAAATACAGACTAACAGAAAAGGGCTAATCTAAGTTATAAGAGCTAGTTAATAATAAACCTGAGCTAATATGCTAAGCTGTTTATAATTAATATTAAGCCTTAGAGTGGTTATTCAGGAACTGGCGGGGGGGGGGGGGCAGGGAGAAACCTCCAGTTACAACATCCACTAATTACATAGTATTTCCATTCGGTTAAGAATGACAAGTCTAAGAAATGACTTAAGGTATAGGGGAAGGTGTGCATAGATATTCAGATACAAATATCTGCTAATTTTATACAAGGACACAGTCAGCTGAGAATTTAGTTACCTGTTAGACTGCGGATCAACGCTCCAAGGATACTGAGTGAGGACGGTATAGGGAACGGCTTGTGAAAAATTAGGACGGTTTGTGGCGGATCCACTGCTTATTTAGTTTGGTTAGGTGACCAGGCTATGCGTTTCCTTGGGCTATGTGTCCATCCAGGTGGATATAGATCGGAGGCAGGGAAAGGGAGGTCATTTCCTTTCTTACTTTTAGGAAAGTAACTAGGTGAACAAGAGAACCAAAAACAGGGGGTGCACTCAAAGAAGAGGCCACTGACAAGCACAGATCTGTCCTGAAGAAATCCAACAGGACCACTGATCTTCTGAATGCCAGCCCAGGCCCATTCCTCTTGCTCTTTGCAAATGTATTTGTATGCATAGGGTGTGTGTGTGCATGTGTTTATATGCACGCACATACATAAGTATGTATTTCTAATTCAGGACTTAAGTGCACACAGTGACATGTGTTTCCTATTTTCCAGTTTATTCCAGTCTACAGGCACGGTTTGATTGCATAAGTAGGCATTAAACCCAGCCATGGGGAAGGAGTCTGGTGGCTATAACATGGGAGCCGCCCCAGTCATGTTAGTGTCTTCTCAGTCAGACTATGACTCTGCTTGTCAGACACTGTGCTGTTCCATTCAGAGCACCCTTGGGCAGCACAGTTCACCTGTCATCCACGCCAGCAGAGTTTCAAGTTCACTGGCAATAACTAGCATTTGCAGAGAACACCATAAGCCATGAGTCATGGTCTCTACCACAGTCTGCACCTCAAGCTCCCAAGCTTCTAGGCTGTCACAATGAATATATGCACCCAAACGATTTTGGAAAATAATGTGCAAATCAAATTTTCTTTATTTTTCCATCAAACCATAAACCTGAAGACCCAGAGTTCCTGGACTGTCAATGGCAAGAAGTAAGCCATGGGCAGGGACTGCTGCAGTCGGCAAGGCAGTCAGTTTAGTGACTTGATATTAAGAATACACACAGGCAGCTTCTGATGAATAGTCACCCCAACCCCTCTCGGGGAAATTCCATGCAGTAAGTTCAGACCCAATGGAAGACCTTCCTTCCCCTTGCAAGGGAAAAAGAAAATCCATCACCACACACTGTTAGCCTCCACTGGTCAATAAAGCCACCCGGCTCTGACAAAAGGAGCTAGAAGGCAGACTCTGCTCTGAGGCTCCACACGGCACTGGTGACACACCCCACAAAAACCACAGTGTCCATGAGACCGAAGCCAGGTGAGACGCAAGGTAGAGAATACACATGAACGCTACTCACAGTCTGGTGAGCTTCGGTGTGCTCTGGAAAAGCAATTCTGGAAGGACCTGGAGCTTGTTCTTGTTCAGGCGTCTGGGGAGGAAAAGATGAATGAAAAGATGTCAAAAAGGTGTCGAGCACAGACAGCACACACACACACAGAGAGAGAGAGAGAGAGAGAGAGAGAGAGAGAGAGAGAGAGAGGGAGAAAGACGACATTGCTTTGATCAATCGATTCATCCCCAGAAAGAGACTTTCTAGATCTTTCAGCATGGTATGCTCGACACACATAAGGCGTATATGCCATTATAACAGAGTTTGTAGTCAGGCTGGAGATAGAAATCCATGTCAGTCATGGGTGCAAACCGAGCACACCGGCTGCCTCCCCTCCTCAGTCGCGAGTCTAGGACAGACATCACTCAATGGTGACAACCTTCTTTCCCGTGGACTCCAGTCAACACTTTTGAGCTTTTCATAGCATGAATTAAATATCAGAGAAAATGTACCAAGTCTTAAATAATAGTGGGGATGGAGCAGATGGTAGTTGCCATAGGAACAGAAAAGAGGGCAAGTCGGATCAGTATGGATTGAGGGACCCAGAACCAATCTCTGCCATGGGGGGCACAGCAGGGCTGCACTGTGACATTCAAGGGTCTTTGACCCTTTGGCCTTTGCTGGGCTGCTTTATCCATAAGATATTTTTACGCATTATATCTGTCCAAGTATAAAAATAAGTGTGTTATACATTTACTAAAAGGCATTTATTTCAACCTAAAAGTTTATTTTCTTCTGAGCTAAAAGCAATTAAGATATATTTATGGGATATGACAGCATGTGGGTTTTCATTACTGCAGCTAATCGAGAAACTGGCCCCAATTAGGGGCCCAAACTCTGGGTAAAAAGTATGGCTTGCCGTTAAACTCAGTCATATAGAGATGTCTATACTGGGCAACTGCTAACAGAGCTTTAAGATCAGAACCTGACAAGCTCATGCTTGGTTCTCCGGGTGTCAGGGCTAGTTGGAGATTGTGTAGAACCTTTAGAGGGCTGGGGTCTGGCTGGCAGAAATATATGATTAAGGAAAGAGCCTCTGGAGGTTCCAATATTCTCCCTGTTCTCTGGTCCACCGATCGCACATTCCTCCCTCCTACCATCGAGTGAGCTTCTCCGAGACCATGCCTTTCCTGCCATGATGAATTGAAACTCTGAAAGAGCCAAATTAAAAACAAAAAAACAAAAAACCTTCCTTCCTTATCCAAGTCAGGAATTGTGGTCACCGTGGCTCAAAACTGATGAACAAAGAAAACAGTCCAGTGTCTCCTGAAAACCCAAGGTAGAGGTTCCCAAGGGACACTAAGCCTCTGTTGTGATATTGATGAGGGCTGCTTTCTTGAGGTAATCCAGCCAGAGGGGACTCTGTCCCTAGCTATTTCCATGCTGGTTTGCATTGCAACTTTTCACAGAGGCTGAAGGCAGTTTCAGGGAACAGCTGTTACCCCCATGTTAGAGCTAGGCAAACTGAGGAGAAAGCCAGGATTTGCACCGAGCTTCTCAGCAGTGAAGTCTAAGCCCGGTTCTTCCCCTACGTGTACTCCAAGACAACGTGACTCTGTAAGGGAGACTTGCCTACTACTCTCTTCTCCCATCCTATAGACAAACGCTGCAGGGAAACCAGGGACTCGAAGGAGGTCAGAAAGGGCCAAGCATGAAGGAGAAAAGCATTTACAATGTCGCCTGATAAGTGTCTTTCAAAAAACACACAACTGGACCCTGACAAAGTTTGTGCCACATGGGTGGGACCAGGGAAAGTGCTGAGGAGGCTTCTGATCAGTGTGAAGTTGGAACAAAAAGGGTGTAAATATGGACAAAAAACGTTCTCACCCCCGGCCTCCCTCTACAGTGGTCTCACTCCAGTACCTGTGATCTTTATTCTAATTGTTTACAAATGATGCTAAAATCATACAACATGAGGTTAGCTGTCTTCTCCGTTTCTAAGCACACAGTTCAGAGACATGGGGCACAGTAGTGTGGACTGTATCCTTCTGGTTGTACGACTAATCTCTAGGATTTATTCGTCACACACAGCTGAGTCTATCCATTAAACAGCTCCCCAGTTTTCCCTTTTAACAGACTGTGATAGATACCATTCTACAGTCTGTCTCCATGAGTTTGCTTCTTTCTGCTTTAAAAAAAAAAATCACTTCTGCTATCTTCTTTGCACAATCCTGCCATGAAACTGGGAAGCCCAAGGCTGAGAAAACCAGCCCCCTGCTTAGAGTAAGTAATTCCTATGTGGTTAGTGATAAGTCCTTTAATAGGACACAGAAGTCACTGGTCCCATAGAAAGCACGGTGTTAGGACTGGGGCTGACCAGTACTGGGTTCAGGTTTGATTGATTATATTCTCACTGTAGATCTGAGGACAAGTTACTGAATCCTTTGACCCTTGGTTTTCCAGCTGCAGAATAACTCTACTCCTGTGTGTTCCAGGGAGAACCGGCCTGCTGCACGTGGACGGGCTGGATGCCACATGATGGCACGATTGAGAATGGCTGATCCCACCTGCTGCCCTGCATACCAAGTGTTGTGCTTCAGGCTGCCCTGGCAGAATCTCACGGCGGAGCTTAAGGCCTGGGTTGTTATTGTCCCCGTCTCTTACATAATGGATTCAAAGCCAGTGATGCAGGCCAGGCGGAGGCCACAGCATCTCTCAGGGGTGCCGTAGCAGGATCTGGACAGTCAGCTGGCTTCAGGTCCTGAACCAGAGCGCTCAAAGCCTCCACAGAACAAAAGGGCCTGGCCCTTTCCCTTGCCTCACTTTTCATTCTGTTTCTTTTCATCTAGGATGGCATGGCCACTTCCTCCACCCTCACCAGACACTGACCTGCTCGGAGTACACGGCCCTGCCTGAAAAGGACTCTCTTGGAGGCCTTTCAGGCAAGAACTGGGTCTTGCTTTCGGTCTGTCTGAAACCACCCTTGTCGTCACAGCTGCATGAAGTCTGCTAAGAATTCCATCCAGACACCCAGCACTCAGGTCTAGGCAAAACCCCTGAAGTCCAGCCCTCTGCCTCTTACAGCGGTGAGCAGGGTGCACAGTGTGCTAAAAGCCCTAGACAGAGCCCAGAGCTACAGCTAAAAATAAAGCCAGTTTGACTCTGAGGCTCCCAAAAGGGAAGGAATAGTTTTCATTTCTTTGCCGGTATTTACGGCTGGGCAAAAATAAAAACACAACCTAATTTAGCCAACTGTGCTCTCCCGGCTGCTTCTCAACCCCTGAATGAGGATTCCTGGCGGCCAGGCTGGGCTCGGATCCCAGTAGCCCCAAGGCCTTTCCACTGCCACTTGGTTGGGTCACACGCCAGTTCTCCATATCAGGAGCATAATATTATACCTCCAGGTCACTTTATGCCTTATTCACTTTTCCTTGGTGAAACAATGGACCAAAGGTCTTCCTCTAAAAGCTCTCTGTAGGAGTGATAGCTTGGTTCGAAAGAAAGTGAAACTTCAAGCAAGGAGGCCACTTATCAGACTTCTTGAGTATCGAAGGGAGAGAAACAAGCTGTTCTCCAGAAAGTTGCAGATGGTGGCTGTTGGCTTAGGTGCTTTGATGCCACCTGCTTCGATGACTCTGGCACTGGAGGTGGCAATCTCTAGTCACAGTTTGAGCTAAAATGAACTATGGTCTGAACGTGGAGCTCAATGGACATGACACAACCAACAAGGATGCAGGAGGGCAGCAGGAGGCTGCCAGGTCAAGCTAGCACAGGGCTCATGCATGTGTCCCCTTTTCTTCTATGATCAGAGGCACCTCTAAACTTCCCTATGGATCAAAGCCAAAAGCCCACTGGTTGCTGAGTTGCAGTCACAGTTTCGACGTCAACTGTGAATCTTTAAGAAGCACAGTCTTGGTTTTGTGTGGTTGTTGAAGACCTTGATGCATTCAACATATGACCAGTTTTGACCCCTGTTGAACTGATCCATTTCAGTCAGCCACATACCCATCCATCTATCTGTCCATTTAACTATTCATCTACCCAACTACTCATTCATCAACATCATCATCACCACCACCATCATCATCATCGTCATCACCATCATCACCAACATGATCATCATCATCATCACCACCATCATCATCATCATCATCATCATCACCATTATCACCACCACCACCACCATCATCATCATCATCACCATCATCATCATCTATCCATTGTTTCCTATGCCCTCGCATCTTTTCAGTTCTTTTTTAATATTTTCTTCTGCATGGGGTTTTGTTTTGGTTTGGTTTGTTTTCATATTTCTGAGATAGGGTTTCTCTCAGTAGTCCTGGCTGTCCAGGAACTCCCTCTGTAGACCTGGTTGGCCGTAAACTCAGAGCACTGCCTCCCAAGTGCTGGAATTAAAGGCAGGCACCACCACTGCCCAGCTTCCAGTTCTTTTTGAATAAGATCATGAAAAGATGAGTAAGACACAGTCCCTTCTCCAAGATGACCATATGCTGTTAGGGGAGACAGATATGAAACAAAATTACTCTATGATCTTGTAAACATAGGTGTTAAAGGAACATGGAGGAGGAGCTGCTAATCCAGTCCCGGTTAAAGGAAGGGATCCAAACAAAGCGAGTTTGAGTTCAAACTGGAAGGATGAACGGAAGACTCTTCAGGAGCCATGAACAAAGAATTCTAGGTTTAGATGTGCATTCCTTTAGATGCCAGGATTCTGTGGGACATTGGGGGGCAGTCCTGTACTGATTTTTGTGAGGAAGTTGGGGGTGATGTATGTAAAATAATTAGCAACTGGAGAACTGGGCAAGGAAGTGGTCATCCGGTTAGAAGGAGGTGACACTGCCATTAAGGGGAGGCAGTGAGGAAAGTTCTGGAGTGAAGCACGGGCTTAGTTAGCAATCATCAAAAACTGATGCGGAGCCAGATGGCAGGTGTAATCAACAGGGGTTTGGGAAGGAACGGTGTGAACAGGCTGAGGGATTGGCAGCAATGGATGGAGTGAAAGGGGCCTCCTGAGATCAAGCTTGGGTAACTGACCATTCGAACTCACCAATCGCTAATGACAGGAAGAGAAAAGGGAAGGG